CCGAGCCTGCTAAACTGAAATTCGAAATTGGTTTCGTGAACCAGGCGGCATCAAGCATTTTTTTTCGAGCAACAAATTTCAGCTTTTACCACATATTCGCAGCCTTCATCGAGCTAGTTTTGCTATTTCATGATACGCGAGAAAAAATGCGGTAATTTCGGAATTTTACAGCTTACAAAACGGAACGAAGCTATGGTTGAGGAAGCCCATCAAAATTCGGTAATCTCCAGTATTTACCGCATATGACGAAAAGTGAGAATTCACCGCACCTGTTTGGAGGAGACAAGGCGCACATCGTCGACCACTGGCCTGCCTTCATCAGTGTTCGAATCGACTTCCATACCAGAATCATTACCATTGAAACTTGCAGCACCGTCCAATTCACTGGTCGATCCAACTTCATTCAACCGGGTTTTCTCGGAGGCACCAGGATCTCCCACTGCTACAACCGATTTTTCCCTTTCGGGTACAACTTGCTGCTGCTGCTGCTGCTCTGGCCTTTTCATACTGCAATTTTATAAAAATTAGGAATAATGTCTTTCGAAAGTCCACTTCCTCACTGTATTTGTTAAGAAAATCGTACGGTGTTGCGATAGGTATTTCGGCAATTTTTCGTCCGAACGCTTCACCCTTCTTCTTGAACAAGCTTTCGCTCCTTCCAATCCGGCAAGTTTCCAGCACGCCAGCTAACGCCTTTTGATCTTCAACGTGCAATTTACTCATATCACGCGGTACTTTGATTTCAATGATGCTCCGGAACACGGGCAAATTACCGAGCGCATTACTGTCCTGAAAAGCATTAAAGAATGCGCATGACGATGTACCTGATGATCGGAAAATGAAAGTACAGTGAAAATTTCAGGGCTCAGTACTTATTTTTCAACTTTCAAAAGCTTGTTTTACTCGCCCAATCAAACAAAATATACTTTTTTTAACGCAATTTTAACTCGGTCAAAAGAGCTAAGAAGTAAAAATCCTAATTTATGGTTTTGCACAGGCTCAAAAGTCTAACTGCCTCCACAATATCGCGAACTGAAAATCTCAGATAAATGGCAACCACGTCTGCATACAAAGCACCCACGTAGCCATAATCCTCATAGAAAGGACAGTGCAAAAAAGGCATTCCTGTGCTGTTTTTCTAGCGCACACTGCCATTCATTTGTTTCTACATAAAAGACAAGTCAATATACGAAATTTTATCTCATACATTAAAATTTTTACCGCAAAAGAACCTGCAGCTGTTTTTTTCTTCGCTTCTAAATTACTTCTTCATCCCATCCTTCTCAGTTTAGCAAGTGCGAAATGAAACGTAACATCAGACCTGCCCCAAGTACTGCATCCTATTACGAAAAGACAAATAGGCCAAGTTCTGCAAAAATATAACGGTGTCAGATAGGTCAAGCGACGAACCTCTGCAGAAACCTGTTCGGACGATCGAGCAAAGAAATAGTTGTGTGTTGGATGTTCACCGGGCAATGCTTTCATCGCTGCTGCTCGTTCCTCGTTACTCATCTCTTTCCATCTACAAAACATACCTAATATGTGAACTGTGATCTCAGTGATTTGAAAAAGTGGTAAAGCAAAGAAAAAAAAAATTTCAAATATTCACTTCATTCTGAAAACTCCCCATTTGAACGACTCCTCGAAGGGCTCCAACTCATCAGCAATTGGCGCATACGTCAAACCACTTTTAGTATCCGCAATCCTGTTAATGTAGGATTTTCGAGATGGTAAAAGTGCTTGTCGGATAAAAATGCGCCTTGTAAATGGATCCAGATCTCGCAATGTATGGGCCTAGAAAAAGCAGCGGTGTAAAAAACAATCTAAGACCAAAATCCAATAAAAATTTCTTGGAGTAGTAAAAAGTCAAAACAGTGAAACAGTTGTCGCGAAACATAAAATGAAAAAACTGCAAAAATATGCATTAAAAAACGAAACGAAAAAAAAAACTACAAAAAGCGAAACTGGAAAATAATGTGGAACTTAGAAAAATAACTTAACATAGAAGTTTTAAACTAATATTAAATTTCAGCAGTTACCAAAACCATTTATGAAATGTAAGCTCTAATCGGTAAGGTACCTATTCGTTGCCTAGGAATGGTAACGCTCCAGATGAGATGGTGAAACTTGACACAATGCAGGAATTTCGAAACGGTGAAAGGTTATATCTGAAGAATTGCTAAGCGACAATCCTCCCCAAAAAAAAGTGCGTCAAAATCACCAGCAAGGTGCGCACTAGGCGATGCAGTACTGGTCAAAGCAAATGGAAAAGTTGCATAGCCGGAGAAGCAGATCGAGAAATTCTGCAAGTCGAACTACAACATAGTGTATGCTAAAAATATCGTGAAATTAACCCGTTTCACTGGGTGATAGATAAATTTTGATGAGTTATAGTCTTAAAGATTTCGGTTGAGATGTTAAGAAATATGAACAAGAAACCAACAAGCAAGGCAATAAACTGCTCTGTGCCAAGACCATGCTTCTTTCGTAGTCGTCTGCCCCAACCGAACAACGCTTTATTGCCATTGTCCATCTGTGTTTCTTCTAGCACACTCTCCACACTCGCCTGTATGGCCTGTGCACTGCTACTCGTAGCTGTTGGCGCTGTTATGTCCAAAAAAGTATCCTGACTGAGCGCTGTATTCTGTAAAATTTTTTAAAATCGGAAATCGAATTTTATAGATATATGTTTAGGCTACCAGTCACTTGAAGTAAAAAAAAAAGCATGAAATACGTAGAAAAGAACGACCAAGCGTCGAGACAGGCAGAATACAAACTCCAAAAGCAGCAAGAGAAAACTGTGCCATATTTTGTTTGGCTAAGGTTATGGGGTACAGAGCAAGGTTTGCCTGAACAGCCGATAAGAATCACACAATAAGCGGTGAAATGCCGTTCGCATAAAGCAGTAAAGATCACGCAGCTGTGCACTAGATATTAAAACACGCTCTAAATCGTCGAAAGAATAAAGAAAAAAATGAAAAACAAATCCCAGCACTCTGAATGTCCTTCGGTTTGCATTATGACGAATTAACAAGCAAAGTGCGAAAGGTTACTAATAATCTCTCAGGCATTTGGATGAAGGCGCTAAGGCATGGACTGAGCCTTCCAATGTATACTTTATAAATCGGTGCCTCTGGATGAGCTCATGAACCGATTCCTTCGGGAACAGACTGGCTCATTATAACCTGTGGAAAAAAGTCCGCTCCACATGGAGAAGGACGGAAAACGTCGATGGAGTCGGATTTAACACTAGTTATTCAAATATCTCGGGAAGCATTGCTAGTAGTGGGGTGCAATTTATCCGAAGCTAATTTCCAATAAAGCCCTTAAAATCGCTGAAGATGATGCCAAGTATCCAAGAAATGCTTAGGCTCTTTCTTTAAGCCCCTTCACAAATTATCAGTGATTCTGTCAGCCATGGAACGATGCATAGTAGGCACCGAAAGACTGCAAAAAAACGCGAACGATATCAATAAGGCAATGTACACCAAAAAGAATTGGGCGGATCATCTAGAGAGAATGGATGGAATAGAAGGATTTCACTTGGATATTATGTGTATGAAGACATTTTATAGCGCAATCTGTGTTTCATCCCTTAGCTGTATACACGGACCGAACAGTGCATGCGGATAGGAGTGGAAGTTGATTACTGAATGGTACTCACGCAATGCCAAAACTACACGAACCAGGGCGAAGGAAAGATTTATCAAAACAGCTGGATGGGATTATGCGTATGAAATGAATGAATGGAACAAATGAATCGTAGTGAGACGGTGAAAAGAGGAAAAGAAGTAGATTGTAAAACGCATATGTGTAATATACAGAATTAAGAAGATGTAAGAAGGACATGTATGGGAGCTAAATGTGAAACTGGCTTTCTGTGTTTCATCCCTAAGCTACAAACTCAGACAGTGTATGGTGTGGATTGGGGTAGGAATCATCAGTGCAGCCCCCACACCACCATTTGGAAATTTAGATAACACGTAAGACAGCTTAAAAATAGAAGGATGGGGAAGCAGCGAAAAAGAAACGCAATTAAGAGGCACCAGCTGATCAAAGTATTACTGAAGTTGGTATGTGCAGCAAAAATTAAAATCGTGTGAAATTTTCATGAGTAAAAATCTCCAAAAAGTTTACCTGCGAAGACGATGGAGTTAGTTCTGGCGGGTTATGCGTGTTACCGACAACTTTCTCTATTCCAAGCCGTTCTGCCTCTTCAATACCACCTGAAACGCTATTCAACAATAGAGGCTGCAAAATTCTGATGTACTTTTCGTGTATAAGTTTTTTACCGTACATATTATTTGGTGGGTTCCCGATTACAGTGAACTACCATAGTTACTGAATATAAAAATTGCTGGAATAAGTGGGCGCAATGATGTATCCATTACAACAGCATGCGTAACCAAATTTATATCAGCGGAACGATTTTTGCATTCTCAAAAAATTGGAAAAAAACTTGAAAATTGTATGAAATGCTTGAAATAGACTATTAATGAAAAATTTGTACAATCAACCCAATTCAAGTTTCACTGCACAGACGGGGCAATCAAT